ACACAATATATATATATATATATATATATATATATATATATATATATATATATATAGAATGCATACAAGCCAAGTCCGAAAGTCAACCTTATTTCTAAAGCGCTTTATACAATATAGATTTTTTCACAGCAGCTTCACAATAGTTTCAAATTCAAATTCTGCTGTAAAGCAGCAAGCTAATAGTGTCATTATACAGCTCGTCAGTTCAGTACTGATTCAGTTCAGTAGCATAAATGTGTAAAATTAATCAGTTGTACATACATACTGTACAGTGTATATGTGCACATGCATGTATGTGCAAGTGCTATGACAAACTTCTGTGCACTCCACTGCACTCTGAACAAGCAAAAGACACAAGAGAGTAGTGTTTTACATTTTTCACATACTGTATGTGTGTAGTTTGGGGTGTATGTGGCTAATTATTTTATGTTTGTGTGAAGAGTTACTACGCAAGAATACAATTTTTAGAAGAGTTAAAATAGTTTTGCAAGATATGTGTGATGTTTTGCATGTTGTGTGTGTGTTTGTGATTTTGTGTGTAGAGTTTTGAGAAATGGAGCTATAGTTTCAAAAACTGTGTAAGCTTTTTTTTAAACTCTAAATTCACATAATTCCATTAATTTATTCAATATTAACTTTCCATATTAAATCATTTTATTTTCATACGCACATTTTAATATATAAATATAATACTAAATACTAAATGGGGAAAAAAACATTTATATATTGAAATTATATATTTATTTATTTTAAAGTGTGCGTCAAAATTCATATACAATATTTTAATTAATTAAAATAAAAAATTCATCAATTTATTTTATATATTTACACACAGATAGATAGATAGATAGATAGATAGATAGATATTTTAAATTTAGTGTATATATATTTTTTTTAAACAGATTTTAAATCAAACATACTATACAATATTTTAATTAATTAAAATAAAAAATTCATCAATTTATTTTATATATTTACACACAGATAGATAGATAGATAGACAGATAGATAGATAGATAGATATTTTAAATTTAGTGTATATATTTTTTTTTTAAACAGATTTTAAATCAAACATACCCACAAAACTGTATGAGAAAATTACCATTTTTAGAAATCATAAAAAATAATATACAATATTTACTTGATTGGACACCAAATATTAAAAGCTATGTATAATATAGTTAGCTATATAAAGGGTTTATAAGCCTTCAGAATTCATTCCTCACTCTTCCTTAATAAACACAAGACCCTGTACTTGGTTATCAAAACCAAACTTGACCGTTTTTCCACTCAGCGCCTGTATATCTTGCCAGTGTCATTTCAATTTAACGTCAAAGTCATTAGTCAGCAGAGTGATCAAATGTAATGCTTTTCATCTACGCACTGTCTTAAAATCATATGCTGTTTAATGAACATGATGCCTGAGTGTCAGATCACATCTGAGTCCTAAAACATTAATGCCATCAGTGAGAAAAAGTCCTCCATTCCTATTAAAACATGGAAAAAGTTGCAGAGATGTTTCGGATTCAATCCTGCCTCTGGCTAAATCTCATCTTATACCTGTTTAACACGGTGCGGAGCAGGTCTATTTTTATGTATGCATTACAACCTTACGCCTTCCCTAAACACATGCACACCCTCTGATTAAATTAACACAGAGGCTTACAGGTTCATAGCTGTTAATTGGTGTATCATTTAATTTCGTACCTTGTTCTATTTTAAACGTGTCCATACAGTTATTTTTTCAAAAGAGAGTAGGGTGTTATATTTAAAGTTTGCAACATCAGTAAATGTATTCTTAATGTGGCTTCGGAAGGATTCATGGACCATGTTCAAATAAAATGGCATGAATAACAATTATTATTATTTACCCTTTTAATACACCAAAACCCTAAACTAAACTAAACTAAACCCGAAACCAAAATATATTATCATACCACATTCTAGTTTGATTTAAGTTCATAAATCTTAACAATTAGTATTTTAGCATTGCTTAAGTCAGTGCTTAAGTCTGTTTGATTCAGTCTGATTTGCCAGTCAGGTTGAGTGATTTATTAAAATGAATCCATTGAGTGATTCATTGACTAACAGCACAGCACTTTGCACTGTATTTTTGTTTCATATGCAGTCAGTGAGGACTACACAACAGTTGTGTTTATCTATATCTTTGAATTGCACGTTCTCTTTGCATACAATCACAAGCTCTTAACTAGGCAAAATTATATAATTATTTGCTGTGCCGCTGCAGATCCAGAAAACACTGCTGATATCTTGACCTCTCATTTTGTTTGTAAAATGAAGCCATTCTTCGCACACCTGCAGCAATTACAGGACGCAGATTAAATACCATAAAAAGTAAAAGTAGCAGTTTTTTTTTTATCTGGCTTCTGATTTCTAAAAGTACTAGCATATCTTTTCTCACCAAGCTGCATAACTGGATGTCATTGCAGTATGAGCAATAACAAACAACATTAAGAATGAGACATGAAAACCTGTAACAAGCGCTATATACTTACATAGCACAGCCAGCTGAAGGGACACATTGGTCATCCCGACCACATTCTCAGAGATGCAGGTCAGAACAAATCCGTTGTCGTCTCTGCTCACGTTGACCAGTGTCAGGTTGATGGAGTGAATGTTGGGCCAGTAGACATTCGACTGGAGGGCAGACGAGAAACATTATGCTATGGTTAGACTGAAAATAAGGTTAAACGGTGTGTTTGGAGTGGGATGAATGGCACTCGCCTGGTGCGTGTTGATGGAGTGAAGGCCGTTCACAGTCCAGTCCACCTCAGGTACAGGAGACCCAGAGCCATTACAGCTGAGCGCCACGTTACCGCCCTCCAGCACAGTGAGGTTACTGTGAGCAACACTGATATCTGGCAGGTCTAGATCACAAAAAGTATTATTATGTACATTACTTGATTACACTCTTACAAGAATGTACCATAGTAACCATAGTTTCTGCCAAAATCTGAAATTTTTTTTACCACTGTAAGTCCATTATTAATTAATTGGAATGGTATATGGTGTGAACTTTCTGAATGTTTCAGTCCTTTTGTTTGCTAATACCAAAGCATAATGTAGCATTTGGTGTAAAGTATGGCTAGCATGGTCATTTGTTGAAAGAAAAGTCAATCATTTTTGATGTACTATTATATATACACACATTATATAGTGCTGCTTTTTACTTTAATTTTCTGGAAACTGGTTAAATGTTATGCCTAATTATATTTCAGGATGACGGCTGTGTACTGAAATGAAAAGAAAGCATCTATATCAGTGTTGTGACTTCAACCAAACCATTAAAAAAGGTTTCGGTAACTGAAATAAAGCTAAAAATAATTATGAAAAACTTACCTTGGCAGCTAACTGAAATATATACATTTAAGTTGAAGTACTAAAATTATTCAAATAGAAAAAAAATATATAATAATGTTAAAGAAATATATACAATTAATAAATTATTTAAAAAATATAAAAATGACAAAAGCATTTAATAACTGAAACTGTTATTTTTTTTATTTTGTTTTCATTTTAATTTAATGTAAAATATTAATAAATACTGTAATGGTATATAAATAATACTAAAAGACACTGATCTATAAAATATGGCCACATATACATGATTAACTGTATTAATTGTGGGCAAATCTTAACCCCCAAATGTGCATAGTTTATACACTGGCAATTTACAAACATGTATGATTTTGATTTTTAGACATGGATAATGGATAGATTATTATTATTATTATATAAGAAAAATGTTTTTAAAAATGTGCAACTCTCATTTGTATTTTTTTTCCTGTTTTTTTTTTTTGCATGACCAAAAAAGAAAGAAAGAAAAGCAAAGAAAAAGAAAAAAGAAGAAAGAATAACAAATAATGCATGATTTCCTTCATTAAGATAGCAATAAAAACTAACAGATCTTACCTCACTCTCCCCAATACTGCATCATAATGTGAGAAAAATATTGCATCATACGAATAATATAATCTTATATAACAATACATAGAATATGGTTGGCCTACAGCTGTATTATTTATGAAGAAAGATGTCTTACCACAGTAGGCAATGCTCATTGATCTCAGGCGGATCTTGCTTGCGCCGTTCTTGCAGTAGAGTTGCTGGGTGTGCAGGCCGGCCTCACCTCGCAGCTGCCAGAGCTGAATCCATCGGATCCCACAGCCGCAGTCAAAGACGACCCCCTCCAGCCTCCTGCATCAACAACACAGCCAACGCTAGTTATACAGTCCCCAAACTCCACCATTTTCATGCTGTGTTAACTCTGAACTGGGCATGCAAAACCAATCAAACTTTGCCTGCACTAGTTAAAAACAGCAGTTTTGTGACACTGTCTCCCAGGTGGTATGGCATAGTGACCCGAACGGATTACTGAAAGGTTGTAGTTTCCCACATGGGGAGATCCATAAGCAATCACCATCATGCCCTTTAGTAAGACTCATAATCACAGGCAGCAGGGCTCGACAGTGCGAGCATTTCACTCACATTTTCCACTAAAAATAGAGGTGTGCGAACTGTAAAATGTATTTAGGAGCATCTGTGCAAATAAAACAAGTCTCGGCAGGTATTTAAAATGTTTTAAATAGTAGAACATAAGTCGTAATAATCATTTTAAGAGGTCTTAAATTTGTGGATGAAAATGCAAGAATCGTGATTCAGTCTAATGTGATTATTAAACTCCAAATGGCTGTGATTCATTAAATAAATGAGCGTTGCATGTTTAAAGTTAAAACGCAGTGCTGTTGCACGTTCTACATTCTCACATTTTTAAAGTAGTTCGCAATCAGTGAATACCGTGCATTTATGCACATTTAACAATTGATGAATTGGGAGAGTGTTTACTTTGATTTTTTATTTTGTAGTATGCTGGAGATTGTTGTAAGTGTGCATATTTTATCTCCTTCATGTTTTTGAATGAGCAGCTTCAAAATAAGAGTACTGGTGCATTTCATGCTTGTTCGTAATTAAAAATCCTGCATTATGTTTTTTTTCCCCCTGTGTAATATTGGTATTTTAGTTACAAAAAAATGTTACATACAAAAAAATTGAACACAAAAATTATTCAATTACTAAACAGTTGGAATACAGTTTGAAGCTTTTTGCACTCTAATAAATTACTTAATTTTCTTGTAAATGTCTCATATTCTTTTATTGAAGAAAACCACATTATTTGATACATTTTCATTGAACTTTTAAGTTGTTGTTTTTTTCTTTTTTTTTAATGCACTCCTAAATTTTCCAGTTTTTCAGAAAAGCATCTGCTAATTGACTGTATTTACTATTGCATGACATGCATTGCACACATGAGCATTTTGTCAACTGCATCTTTTACGTCACATACATGATGCATAACATAAACAGCATTTAAAGCATGGCTATTTGCATTTCAAAGCTGTAAAACTGGCAAGTGCACAAAGCACACAATTCCCATTCCCAGCAGTGACATTCTAGATTCAGTTACTAAAACATCAGATTATTAAATGATGTTTATGCAAAAAAAAAAAAAAAACTCAAGAAATATTAGCTGAAAGCAGATCTTAATAGCTTCCAGATATTTACTTTATTTTACACCAGAAACATACCCAAGTATGTAGACATGCTTGGGCAACACATTGTAAGCGCACTGTCCCGTGACAAATCTCAGTTCTGACATAGGTAACAGAGTTCCTCTCTGTGTCTGTGACATTAAAACAGATGCTTTATTATTCAAATAGCTAGCTATAACAAGTTGACAGCTGAACTTAACTGCAAGATTGTGAAAAGAAAGAAGTGACTGCGGCAGACAGCTGCTTGCTTTAGTGCCTACAGAAGGCAGTTTACACTAATGCCTTGCAACGCAACACGTACTTTTGCAGAATTATGAATTATGTTCTGAAACATTACAGAAAGCAACTACATGTGAAATCGAGCTTGCACAGCTAGGAGAATTTGCAGTCTAGTACTTGTGCAGAGTTTCTGGAGTACAAACATGTTCAGATATTTTTATTTTCTGCAAAACAAAGACACTTAAAATACAATTTCATACAACAAACTACATATACATACTACCGTTCAAACACTTGGAGTCAGTAAGAAATTAATACAATCCGCATAATAATCAGCATTTTAGAATGATTTCTGAAGGATCATGTGACACTGAAGACTGGAGGAATGATGCTGAAAATTCAGCTTTACATCACAGGAATAAACTACATTTTAAAATATATTACAGGACAGATTTTCTAAAACTAATAAACTTCCATGAAGTGCATAGTATGCTGATAAATAGGAATATGATAACATACAAAGCTGTACTTGGTAAGTGGACATTGATTACTGGAACAATATGACATTTCACTTTATGAAAAACACAGTCGCAGTGGCTGAATAGAAAGAAAGATGAGGCGCTCACAACGTGATGAACTGTATATCATTACCCACAGGCTTTGATCTCAGCGTGAAACTTTAGTCCATTAATCTGTATGCTCGGGTTGGAAAATACGCTACTGTATGTTTTCAGAGCCCTTCATTATTTTGCAAATCCCTTTCTGCAAACCTCCAGAAGTCAGGTCACCCGCAAGAACAAATGCATCTGTACAGCATGGAATGAGCTGACAAGTAGAATGACCAAAATTACTTGAATGTGATTCTGAGAGAAATGTGAAACCGTGTCGTCATGAAGTATACTAAGAAGTTGTGAGAGAGACTATAGACAGCAACAAAAAAAAAGATGTGTTTTGTTTTGTTTTCTAAGGCATCATTTACGCTACCAGGAATAACCCAGTGGCGGCCAACGGGGGGTTTGACTATCATCAATGATGATTGACAGCCCATAACATGATTATGCACGCTGATGAGGTTTAGTTGGGCGTGTGCACCTGAAAGCTATTGAGAAATGAAATTGTAAAATGCAACTCTTCAAAATGTAATGGGATCATTTTCTTTTTGAAGAATAAAACAAAACCAGATCAAGATTTTACATTGGACATTAAGTGGGAGACCCAGCAGACTACCGACATTGCTTAAAAGTAAACAAAAAACATATTTAAAAATTGATATTGAAATGTGGTTTATTATTTGTTTTTTGTATTTCAGTATTTTCATGATTTTCTCTGCTATACGTGACCCCGAACAGACCTGTGACCCACCAGTTGAGAATCACTATCCAAAAGGATAAAGTCTAAATTCTCAATTCTTTTTCCAAACCCTCAGGCTGATATTATATTACAATGGCTGTTAGGATGGATTCACTTGGTCTGAAAATCAATAATGCCCGTGAATCTCATCTAGCTTTGAAGATTACACCATTATAACTGATACCAATCCACACCATCCATCTCCATAATACATGCAATTTGTTCAGTGAAGTTCAACTTTGTTTGTTTACAAAGTATATTCAGTGGGAATAAATGCATATTTTCCAGTTGTTCACCCAATGCTTTTTGCTTTTTCTTTCCTCCATTCATCCATAGTTTAATTTTTTTTTTATATTATAGATTAGATTTGTTTAGTAATATATATTTCCTATTTTGATAAATAGTGCTTTTTATGATCTATTGCTACATTAGTGAAAATCTGTCACTATTTTACTTTTTGCATCAAACATTTTGAATCTAATTGGCTATAATGTTTTGCTGAAAGGATGGCTCTTGTAAGTGAAAAAAAAAACACTCTTTGTGGCATTTCCAAGTAAATTCATAATTTCTATCATATATATGCTTGTTTTATTTTATTAGTTTTTTTTTCAGTAAAAGGAACTATAAATTCAACTCAAGAGTCATACATATATTGAATATTGTCAAAACAACAGGCTGAACAATTGAGCTATAATCTGTAATCCCTAGCCCATCCTGATGTCACTTCCTTTGAAAAAAAGGAAGTACTCACTCAGACAGAGGAGACACTCAGACCTTATGCTGATGTAGTATGTCTGCAAATGTTTGTGTACTAAGTGTCCTTGAAGACAATGACTTTGTTGGATTTATTGCAATGCATTTTTTTATTTTTTTTCATTTTCATTTTAAGTGCAGTTTAACCATATGATCAATCATTTTGATGATACGTCATGCCAGTGTTGAATGTATCACCAAGTCACTTTCAGATAATACAGGACAGCAAGAACATTATGATTGGTCACATGCTCTGATTGAACTCTGAAACATAATTTTAAACGGACAAATCATGTACAGTGCTTTAATTTTCTAGACATTTAAAGAAATAATCCAATGGAAAAAAAAAACGCTCATGTTGTTCCAAAGCTGTATGACTTTCTTTCTGCTTCAGAACACAAAAGAAGATATTCTGAAGAACACTGGGATCCCAACAACTTACCTTTAAATAGATAAAGATTTTTTAACATAATTTACTAGAGATTTCATTCAATACAATAACAAAACAATAACAAAAGAGCAGACTAGAACAACAAGAAAGATTTACATTGACTATAGAACTATAACTAAGATTTCATTAATTTCCACAAATTTTCCAAGTCTGAATATTATATTGGCTCTTAATGGCACATTTTAGAGGTATAGTTGAATACTTATTCAATTCAGTAGTTAATTATCTTGCATTTTAGCACTGAACTGTGTTGAAATGATCTCTATGGCATACAACAGTGAAATGATCTCAATTTACCATAACAGTGAAAGCAACTTTGGTAAAAATCAATTTCCTGTAGGACAGATTTGGACAAATGACATGTTTATATCATCCACAATAAAGGTATTACATTCACTACAACAGTGATGTAGGTTAAAGGATTATTTCACTTTCAGAATAAAAAAAACAACAAGAAAGATTTACATTGACTATAGAACTATAACTAAGATTTCATTAATTTCCACAAATTTTCCAAGTCTGAATATTATAATTTTCCTGACATTTAGAGATTATTACTTACAGAGTTATTCCTGTAATTGGGCATAAATGAAAGCATCACACAAAGTGACCATCAGCCAATGGGTTGAAGGTCCAAATTGCAGTTTCAAAGCAGCTTCAAAGGGCTCTACACGATTCCAGCCGAGGAATAAGGGTCTTATCTAGTGAAACGATTAGTCATTTTCTAAGAAAAGAAAAAAAATTATATGCTTTTTAACCACAAATGCACGTCTTGCACTTGCTCCACGATGCGCGTCCGCAAATTCACGCATGACGTAATCACGTTGGAAAGGTCACGCACGGTTAGCTCTTTGTCTGTGTACTCTGGTTCAAAAAGGAAATGAGAAAATCTCATTTTCTCCTCCAACTTCACAATCATCCGACATCATTGTTTTACCTTGTTTTGTAAAGGGCGTTTGACTTTCTTTGCACGTTCACTTTGTAAACACTGGGTCGGTACTTCCCGCCTACGTCACGCATGACCTTTCCAACGTGACTACGTAATGCGTGAAGTTAAGCTAGTGCAAGATGAGCATCTGTGGTTAAAAAGTATATACATTTTTATTTTTTTTAAGAAAATGAACGATCGTTTCGCTAGATAATACACTTATTCCTTGGCTGGAATCGTGTAGAGCCCTTTGAAGCCGCATTGAAACTGCAATTTGGACCTTCAACCCATTGGCTCCCATATTAAGTCCATTATATGGAGAAAAATCCTGGAATGTTTTCCTCAAAAACCTTAATTTCTTTGTGACTGAAGAAAGAAAGACATGAACATCTTGGATGACATAGGGGTGAGTAAATTATCAGGAAATTTTTATTCTAGAAGTGAACTAATCCTTTGAGCAGGGTTCCCCTTTCTTATTATCCAGTGAATTCTCACTTCACAGTCATTCATCATAAATAGATCAAACTTCTTAACATAATTTAATGAAGCATAGCATTAGTTCTAGCAGGTCACATCAGTCAAGCTTGCATCAGTTGACTCAGCTGATCCACGTCTACCTATAGGAATACAACGTCTATCACGGCATCCCTACACTCTTAAAAATAAAGGTGCTTCAAAAGGTTCTTCACAGCGATGCCATAGAAGAACCATTTTTGGTTCCACAAAGAACCATTCAGTCAAAGGTTCTTTAAAGAACCATCTCTTTCTTACCTTTTTATAATCTGAAGAACCTTCTTTCACCACAAAGAACCTTCTGTGAAACAGAAAGGTTCTTCAGATGTTAAAGGTTCTTCATAGAACCATTTAGACAAAAAAGGGTCTTCTATGGCATCGTGAAGCACCTTTATTTGGAGAGACGCACATGCTTCAGCGTGCTGCAACACGAAAAGCCCTTCTTGTGTTTCCATTAATAATGAATGAAAATAAATGAAGTGGATCAGCATATAGCTGCCATGAATGATGGGATGAATCGTGTCCCATGTGTAAGTCTTTTGTTGTAAATAGACACGTTCTGTAAAACCCTGTTTAGATATTTACTGTCATTGTAATGTATTTTCATGCGGCTGGTGTTCTAAATCTTGAGTGGAAGATATAAAGCATCATGTACTCCGTGCAACTGGAACATAATATTATTCGATATGAAATGCGATGGGAATTGCCTCATCGTGAATCTTGGATAGAGAGCATTTTCTCTCTTCACACTGCACTGCACCTTTGATGGAGTTAAACTCACAGCAAGTCATGATAGCAAAAACATAAGACGATATTTCCCATTACCTCTGACACATTTCAAATCTAGCGCTGAGCACAGTGGCCTGGTCTGATGCATCACGCTGATAGCTGGCTAACTAACCCTCCTATCAGATGCTGCATAAATGCACATTTCCTAAAATGTAAAGTATTATGATATCTAAATCGATTACATGGAACTCATCTGAAATGATTCAGCTTGAGACTGATGGATCCCATGCAGTCGCATTCGTCATGATGGCTGGAACGGAGGCAAGGGTCAGTCAAACCGTCTCAAGCAAGTCTTATCATCTTCATAACATGGCTGTCCTCTACATCTCTTTCCAGCCTCAGGGCAGCATTGCTGTACTTGACCAAATGCTTCTGTTTAGCACCTCATGATGGTTTGCACCCATCATGTTGCTAACCCGCTGGCTATTTCTGCTCCATCTGCCTCCTACCGCCAACAGACCAGCTGACTGTTCAGCACTGGGATGGAAATACGTGCAGGTCTGAATGTCGCAACTCTGACAGCAGCACATTTCAAAATGTCAAATGTTTGTTTGGGTCTAGTATTTTAGTTTGACACGTATGTGGGGGAAAAAGACACAAAACCGTCTCACTGCAGCCAGCGAATAGTGATCACATTTATAGCACTGGCCTGATTATTTACTCAGCTCTAGCTTAGGGGGAGGGCATTGCGATGAGGATACATTTTTACTTCTCCAGCAGGTGCTCGAGCCAAACTGACCTAAATCTGCTCCGCGAAGAGGCATTGCCTTACAATGAAATCACAACAAGCCCCCTTCACTGCCTCTTTGACTAAATAATCCTCAGCAATGTCAAGGGCTACACATTGAATATGCAGAAGTATGACAACATCATGCAAATGAACATCCATATAAACTGGATAAGTATCTGGAGGTTGAAGCTTTGCTGACTTTGTGCAAAGCCGAATATATAAAAAATGCCTACAATGGTACACTCTTAAAAATAAAGGTGCTTAAAAGGTTCTTCACAGAACCCTTTTTGGTTCCACAAAGAACCATTCAGACAAAGGTTCTTTAAAGAACCATCTCTTTCTTACCTTTTTATAATCTGAAGAACCTTCTTTCACCACAAAGAACCTTCTGTGAAACAGAAAGGTTCTTCAGATGTTAAAGGTTCTTTATGGAACCATTTAGACAAAAAGGTTATTCTATGGCATCGTGAAGCACCTTTATTTTTAAGAGTGTATGTAGGGTCTATTCAGTATTATTCAGCAGCTTTATCACTTTGCTCAAGAGCTAATTACCCTCCTCCATCCCCAGCTCCTCCTTTCATCCAACTGTCAGGACTTGGCTTTCTGATTCCTCATTGAATCAGACTCGTTTTTAATTAATTAAGTTGTTGTATTAAAGTGTCATTAAGAACAATAATGACATCTGCTACATTTGGTTCTATTCTGTTTATCCTAGGGGGTTTATCGCTGCTCTCCCTGCTCTTATCCATGCTAGGCTGCATGGATGGGCAGGGAATTTTTGCCCAGAACAGAACAATACCGCCAATCCAAACTGTATGCTAATTGTCAATCATCTTTGACGATAGTGGTTCTGACAGAACTATAGATTTCCCCCTTAAAAACAGTAACAAAAGAGCTAACTGGAGTAACTATAAAGATTTACATCCACTATAGAAATCTCCATGACTTTGATTAATTTCTACAGCTTTCCCAGGTCTGAATATTATAATTTCCCTGATATTTACAGATTATTCCTTAAAGAGTTATTCCAGTAATGACCTTAAATGAAAGAATCACACAAAGCAATACTTGAACCAGGTTGATCTTTTGATATTAGCTCATAATGGCACATTTTACAGACGCAGTTGAACACTTATTCAATTCAGTAGTAAATTATCTTGCATTTCAGCACTGAACTGTGCTGAAATGATCTCTAAAGCACCCACCTGGTAAATAAATTCACCATAACCATGAACACAAATCAGATTCTGGTAAAACTAATTTCCTAGAGGAAAGATTTGGACAAATGACACGAGTTGTTTATATTATCCACGATATCCACATCAGTGAAGACAGAAAAAGACAGCAATGTGCACAGTCCCCAAATCCCCCAAAACATTCTGAAATGAAAGGCCAAAAATGTGCTTAATAAAAAACTAAGCAGGACATATGTCAGCTGCTCTCAAATTGTGTTCAGCCACAACAAAGAACAAGGACGGGACGTGTCAAATTCAAAATAATTGAATTGTTTTGTCATTTTAAACGCAACACGACGACACCATGTCGTCTCTCACAATCAATAAACAAACTCATCACTTTATGTACATGCAGATTGCTCAAATATTCATGACAAACAAGAAAATGAGGTCAGGCTCCCAGCAGACAAGACCAATACATTTCACTGCCATGTCTTAATTAACCAGCAGGAGCAACTCGACTGTTCGCAGACATGTAAAAAGTGCTTCTGCTTCATCACTGGAGATGTTTTGCTTTGACAGAGACACAAGTCTATCGGAGGATGGGAGCAGGGGGTGCACAAACAAATTACTTGACAGTAAAGTGCTGAAAACATTTCTAATGAAGACAGCAATGCAATCGAACATCAAGCCTGGATTTCAGCGTCCAATTTGGCAGCCGAGTGCTGCTTATCACAGAAAATCTACGCAGAGAGAATTTTGAGATTTATTATAAATTGAGGAATTATTGCTTGGTGTGTTTTTATACTGCGATTTGGCAGCTGAATTCATGTAGTTATCTCACATGTGGAATTACTATTAACTAATGCAGGATGAACTTACAGTTCGACTAGCTGAAGGTGCTGAAAAAGCTGCCAAGAGAGTGTCGTCAGAGGGTTCTTGGACAGGTTTCTGTGCAAAAAGACAAAAAAGAAAGAGGAACAGCAATTTATGATTTAGCTGTGAACAGATGAAGCAATTAAATCAACATACCAAAAAGGTTTGCATATATATCAAATAATACAACAAAAACATTTTGAGGGGACATTACATGATCATGATACATTTTATCTACAACAGAAAAAAAAGGCATAGAATGAAAAAATGCTTTTTACAGTTAACAAGAAATTAATTTACCTTAATTTTAGATATTTTAAAGGGATAGTTCACCCAAAAATAAAAATTCTGTCATCATTTACTCACCCTCAATCTGTTCCAACACTGTATGAGTTTCTTTCTTCTGCTGAACATATATGAAGATATTCTGAAGAATGTTGGTAACTAAACAGTTGCTGGTCCCCAATGACTTCCATAGTATGGAAAAAACATCCATAGTTTGGTTACCAACAATCTTCAAAAAATCTTCATTTATGTTCAGCAAAAGAAAGAAACTCATACAGGGTTGGAACAAATTGAGGGTGAGTATGATGACAGAATTTTCATTTTTGGGTGAACTATCCCTTTAAGTTGAACTTAATGTTTTTACTTATATTCACTAAATTAAACTGAGTAGATTTCAGTATATATTCAAATCTGTTTTTCAGTAAACTGAAAGACCTTCTTAGTGTTTAATGCTCAGTTATGTATGTTTCTGTAGAGTTTCTATATCTAGCATAGCACACAAACAAGCAGTATTATTATTATTAGCACAGCTTTTACTCATTGAGTTAAGAAATCTACTTTATAATCTTATAATCTTCATTCTACTCTTCAGCACAATGGTAAACAGCAGAATTACGTAACATAGCGGAAACTCTTTTAAAATGTCAAATGTAAGTGAATATTAAACATTAACATGTCTTTCTATTTACTCAAAAAAACAAACACAGACGTTCACGTAGGCCCAAAACAAGTAATTTTACTGTTCAAAAGTTTGGGGTCAGTAAGATTTTTATTTTTAAAGGGGTCCTATTATGCTCTTTTACAAAGTCTTTATTTTATTTTGGGGGTGTACTAGAACAGGCTCTCATACTAAGTTGTTCGAAAAACACATTATTTTTCACATATTTTACATTATTACAACACCTCTCTCCTCAGTCTGGCATGAACGGCTTGAATAGTTCCTGTATCAAATGAAGGCCCGCCTTCTGAAATACGAAATGTGCTGTGATTGGTTAGCTGGGACAGTGTGTGTTGTGATTGGCA